CCCTGCTCCTGCGGGGGTCCCGGGCCGTGGACCCCATCCGGGCCTTCGTGGTGCCGCACAGCCACATGGACGTGGGCTGGGTCTACACCGTGCAGGTGGGCGCCGGGCGGGGAGTCGCCGATCCGGGCGGAACCCCGCCTGTCTCCGAGCCGCAGTTAACGCCTGCGCGGGGCGGGGCGCTGGTTGGACGGGTCCTGCGTTCGGGGATGGCGGGCGGTGCGGCCCCGTGAGGTCGGCAGGGGAAGCCAGTGCTCAGGCTGGCAGCCAGGTGACCAGCGGGTCCCCGCCTCCCCCTCCCGAGGACAGGCTTTGGGGTGGGCCAGTGGTCACCTCCGATTCTGCTCAGGGCTTGGCTCCCTGGGCCTGTTTCCCCACCAGGAACCCCTACCCAACTCCCAGGGCGCCTGGGTGGCCCTGAAGTGGTCGACATGGGACTCGGTCCACCCAGGGCTGCTGGGGCCCAGAATTAGAGGAGCTGGGGTGAAGCCCAGGCGTTGGGGGATGCTGGGGTCCAGGGCAGCGACCCCGGCCTCGGTGTCAGCGCTCTGTCCCGATCAGGCCTGTGCCCACAGTGGTGGGGGCTCCCACACTCAGGGAGCCCTGAACTCTGAGGCACGGAGTCTCCCTGGCTTTCTCCTGCCCCAGGGCCTTTGCACAGGACCTGTGAACCCAGTCCCTCTTGGCCAGTCTCTGTCAGTGCTGCCCTTCCCACAGCCCCCTGGCCTTTAGAGCGCCTGTGGCACTGGCACTGTCTAGTGGTCCATGCATGTACCTGTTGGCTTCGTGATCCCGTTTCCCAGGGCTCCGTACCCCTGGCTCACTGACCTCTGGCTGTACCCACTGAGGAGGGCTGTGGCATTCGTCCAGTGGACGGATGAACGAATGATGAATGAATGAATGGAGGGAAGGCATCTGGCCTCCTTCGGTCTCAGGATGGGCACCAGATGTCACTACCCAGACCTCCGAATGCTTATTTTGGGGATGAGACAGGAAATACCTAAGAAAATCCACAAGATCCCTCCATATTGGGGGACAGAATCGCTTTGCAAAGAACATCAATGATTGAGTAGTGGCATTTGTTTATTTACTTATTTATTGAGACAGGATCTCACTCTAGTCCAGGCTCACCTTGAACTCACTATGTAGTCCAAGCTGGCCTCACACTCCCAGTGACCCTTCTGCCTCAGCCTCCCGAGTGGCATGCACCACCACCCCTGGCTAGGTAGTAGCATTTCCAAGAGAGGGTCAGGAAGAGGACCTGGTGCCGGGTGTTGAATCGGTCCTGGGTGCCCCAGCTGGCTGTGGGGACCCTCAAGCCTGCGGTGAAGACCCGGGAAGACTAAGGGAGTGTGCTGTACCCGCAGCTCCCAGCTCCCGGAAGGAGAGACCGAGGCCCAGCGAGGTCTGTGCCCTTCCTGCAGCCCCTCAGGCCCCACCCCTGGCTCCCGCTCTGTCCACTCTGTCACGAGCACTGCCCAGGCTGCAGGGCAGGAAGCCAGCTAGGAAGCCCTGTTCCCTGGCTTTGCCTGGGGGCGGCTGGGGGGCCAAGTGGCTGGCCCTTGGGGACAGCAGGACACTGTGTCTCCCTTTCAGCCCGAGTGTGACCCCTGGGAATACGGGGCCACACCCCTCTTGCCGTGGGACTTCTGGCCCAGGTTTTGCACCCTCTCACAAGGTGCCCGGACCCTCGGGGCTGGCTCCTCCCCTGGCCACCCAGGCGTCATCACAAGCTCGTTCTGATTCCCGTCAGCGTGGGCGCCCGGGAGTCACACGGACAGGCAGTGGGGACAGGACGGGGCCAAGCGCCACACGGGGGCCCCAAGGGCAGCAGGGCCCTTGATCCGTCTGGGCTCCTCTGTGCCCCTCAGCGGGTGGACGTCTGCAGCACTGCTGTGACCTTGTCCCCTCCCCAGGAGAGCATGCGGGCCTACGCGGCCAACGTCTACACGTCCGTGGTGGCGGAGCTGGTGCGTGGGGAGCGGCGGCGGTTCATCGCGGTGGAGCAGGAGTTCTTCCGGCTGTGGTGGGACCAGGTCGCCTCTGAGCAGCAGAAATGGCAGGTATGTGGTGCCAGGTGACACAGCGCTGGGGGCCCTGGGAAGCCCAGGGTGGACAGTCACAGCGGTCCAGCTGGTGCCAGGGCTGCGCCAGCTGAACCCTCCAGGCCGGACCCCCGGGGCTTGTGATCTGCGTGCGGCCAGCACCACAGCCGCGAGGGCTGACTTCAGCCAGTCTGGGTCTTCTCGCAAAGTTGGCCAGCTCTGGCAGGCCAGCCGCACGTTCCTGGTGCCACCTCCCGGCACCAGGCACTCCCAGGTGGCCCCCACCTTACACCCTGTCCCCTTATTTACACTGCCCACCTGGCCCCGGGCACAGGACCTGTGGCCCTTGGGGAGGTTGTGGGCAGACAGGTCAGCTCCTCACGGAGCAGACCCTTGTGCCCGGCACTTGGTGCTACCTCTGTCACCAAGGATGCAACTGTGATCCGGGGGGCTCCCCCCTTGGAGACGTCTTGCCAAGGCAGAGCCATAAACACCTGGACTCCGGAAAGCTCCGGAGCCCAGCCTCCTCCCCAGCGAGCACGTCTCTCGGAGTGTGAAATTCAGAGAGGTTGACCGACTTCCTCAAGGCAGCACAGCTAAGGTGGCAGCAGAATATGCTGGTCCCACCAGAGAGGGGGACTCCTCCACCACAGTCAGTGACTTGACCTACGATGTCCCAGCTCGCAGAGATGGCCTGGGGTCAGAGAGGGAGGGCACTGGCCGGCGGTGACAGGTGGGCCGAGAACTCTTGCGCATGGAAGGATGCGGAGGAGAAGTGACGCCTCCGCGGGCCGGGTTGGATCTCGCACCGGGGCCAGGAGCCTAGCGGAACAGTTGGGGAAGTGCGTGCGGAGGCTGTGGATCCCGTAGGGGTGCTGTGTGAGGTCACATTCCTGATTTTGATCCTTACACTGTGGCTCTGATTCTCCCGGTTCCTGTCCGGCACACAGGGAGGCGAGCAGGGGGAAAGGCGGAGGCGCTGCTGACTTCACCTGGCTTAGGAAAGGCATCTGCGGTGCAGAGATGGGTCTGGAGGTGGAAGGTGGGGAAGCTCCTGTGCGAGTCTAGGGCAGGCACGGGGGACAGCTCTTAGCTGTCAGTTTTACTCCTACAACTTTTGCTAAGTGTGAAATCATTTCAGAAGGGAAAAGTCAGTTATCTCAAATACCGGCCGTGGGCCAGGCGCTTTCGGGTGGTGAGCAGCGCGTTGGCCTGCTTTTGTAGCATAAGCCAGCGTGGAGTTCGTTGGGGGTACGGTGGGCACTGCAGGCCTGGCCCCTGCACCAGCCCAGCCGGGCCACGTAACCTGGCCACCTTCTCTCTGCCACTCACACCAAGGTCCGCCAGCTGCTGGCCCAGGGACGCCTGGAGTTCGTCCTCGGAGGCCAGGTCATGCACGACGAGGCTGTGACCCAGCTCGATGACCAGATCCTACAGCTCACAGGTTTGCTCCCTGCCCAGCACCCAGGGACCTGAGGTAGGCTGGGAGGGGCTGGCCCCAGCCCTGGGGTTCTGGGCTCTGTCTGTGTCTTATGGGGCCCTGGCCCGTGGGGACAGGGACTTGCTGGGGCCGGCGTGGGCCTGGCTGAGGGAGCTGAGTGGAGAGTTAGCAGTCCTATCCCTGTGGCCCTCCCTGTGCCTCAGTTTCCTGCTGGTAACCTACCTCCAAGGGTTCTTTCGAGGATTCGATAGAGATGCTTCAAATAAAGAACTTTCAGCAGAATGTGTCGCTCGCTTGTGAACGCCCAGCAGATGTCAGCTGGCTTCACGGTGCCATTGCCAGCACCTCGCTTGCCCTTGACACCTCACCGAGGCGCAGTGGCAGGCTGAGGAGGAGGCCTGGTGACTCTTGGCCCCATTCTACAGCTGTGGAAACTGAGGCCCAAAGAAACAAAGCGACTCTCAATGGCCCATAGGCAGGACTCACATCCAGGCCTGGTGCCAGCCCCTCTGCCCTCCTGGGGTCTTCCCGCCCCTGGGCCTTAGGTCTGGCTTCAGGCATCCTGGGCTCTTCATGTGGGCTCGAAGGTGGTACCAACGCAGCTGCTGTCTGTGCGTGGCTTCTGCAGACAGCGCTGGGCTCACCCCCCACGCCCTGGGCTGGGCCTGTGGCCCAACTGACGGACGCAGTAGTGGCGGAGAGGAAGTGAGTCGGCCAAGCCCAGCCTCCTGCCCCCGCTCCTCGGCAGCACCATGCGCCCATGTGACCCTTGTTCAGGGCGTCTCCTCTGCTCGCTACCCTCATCTGAAAGACGCTGCCGAGGATGCCGCTCTAGGGACCCTGCTGTGGTCCCCACAGATCCCACTGCTGCCCTACACCCCACACTACAAGTCTCCCTAGCTGACTCACCATGGGTGCCCAGGGGGACCTGTAGCGTGACAGCCAGAAGCCCCAGCAAATGCAGGGTGCATTGCTTTGGGGCAGGAGGACCCCAGAGAGACCCTCATATGAGTGAATTCTATGAGCCTTCTTTTCCAAAACCAAAACCGTCCCTCAGAGGACAGACGCTAGGGTCCCTTTCACCTTGGTCTGGACAAGGAAACCTTTATTTCAGTCCTCAGGGCAGGCTTGTTGATGGTGACCTTATAAATGCCCGGTGTAAAGGGGGAAAAAATCGTTATTGTTTTGTTGTCATTTTGAGACAGGGTCTTGCTATGTAGTTCAGGCTGGCCTTGAGCTTACTTTGTAGCCCAGGCTGGCCTCAAACTAGCAGCAATCCTCCTGCCTCAGCCTCCCGAGTCCTGGGATGACAGGCATGCGCCACCACATCCAGCTGTTTTTGTTTTTGAGACAAGGTCTTGCTGTATAGCCCAGGCTGGCCTCTCACCCCTCCTGTCTCAGCCTCACGGTGCTGGGATTATACGCATGCACCACCATACACGGCTCTGCAGAGGACAGATTTGTGTCTCAGGTGATGCCCAAACCTGACCCAGGGACAGCACCAGCCCAGCGGCGGTTCTGAGTCTGACAGGAGCTGGGCCAGCCCTGACTCACCCAACCTCTCAGTGCCCTCCCTGTGCCAGCTCAGGCCCGCCGGTGTGCTGTGTGCTGTGTGCACCTGCTAGCAGGTAGTGCTGTCAGCAGCCGCATTTTACAGCTGAGGAAACTGAGGCCCGAGAGATGCAAGGATTAGAGCCGGAGCTGAAGCCCAGGTCTGCTTGGCCCCCGCTGGCTCAGGCACCCAGCGTCAGGGAGACGGTGCTGTGCAAGCCACACTTGGGGATTCGGGCTGGGCCCTGCCAAGCCATCCTCGGTGTGCTAGCCACCCTGCTGCCCCCCGGTCCATCCTTAGTCCCGGCTCGGCTGTGCTGTGCCCTCCTGTGAGGCTGGCAGGTCGGATGTGGCCAGCTTGGCTTCCCCCAGGAGTCAGGGCCTCTGGGCCAGGGTCCTGGGTCTCCCCGAGGGTGCCCTGGGCCGTGCCCCTCTCCTTCCCCACCCTAATCCTGGGGCCACAGCAACACCCAGCCACATTCAGGTGTGGCATTTCAAGCTAGAGGGCACATCCTCCCTGGGACTCTGGTTAGAAGCCAGCTGTGGGCGGCTGCACCTGGACAGGAGCTTTTGTTCCCGCCCCAGTGGGCAGCCTCCCGGAGTCCTGGAAGAGCTGCCCCTGCCCCTGCCCCTGTCCCGAGCCGGCCTGTGGCTGGGCACCTGCAGCCAGTGCGGAGGGGACACCTGGCCTATCCCAGTGGCCGCCACCACCCTGCACTGTGAAACCCAGGTCTGGCCCTGTCTCCGGCTCCCGCCCACCCTGCCAGGGCCCCTCTGTGGCCTGGGCTGTTGGCGCCTCCGACCTCCCAAGCAGTCTCCTGAGCACGCTGAGCAAGAAGGGCTTTACCAGGAGCGGGCAGGTTCCTGCAGCTCGCAGCACTGGAGCGTCCCCATCTCCCCGCCCCTCGCCCTGCCCTCCGCCCCGGGGCTTCAGGTGCTGCAGCTCCAGCCAGGGGGCGGATCCATTCCTCTCTCCTGCAGGAGCCTGCAGGGCTGTGCCCCCGGTCGTGACCCCAGCTTCTGGCTGCTTCCAACTTGTCGCTCTGCCATGCCCCGGGCCCTGTCACACAGCGAAGCTGGCGCACGCTCTGCGTTGTCACTCTGGCAGGAGAGTGGACGGCATGGTGGAGAGAGGGAGTCTTTCTCAAGAAGAGAACCCAGCCTCTTCTGCTCCCTTTCCTACTAGCTAGAATTTAGACCCCACCCTCCCATAACTTGTGCTCAAGCCCCATTGAAGACTGAGTTACATGTTTGCTACTGGCTGCAGGGCAAGCTGGGAAGTGTAGTCTCTCGGTTCTGGGCATATCCTATTGGCCAGGAGTTAGTCACATGGCTTCATCTGCTGCAGAGGAGGCTGGGAAGTGCAGTCCATCATTTCTGGGCATATCCTATTGGCCAGGACTTAGTCACGTGGCTTCGTCTGCTGCGGGGGAGGCTGGGAAGTGTAGTCCATTGCTTTGCTCACCATCGGGTAGAATGGAGTTGTGACCTCTGTCATCTGCACGAGAGGCTGGGAATGTCGTTAGCTGGGAGTCCACGTGCCCCGGCCCAGTGATTTTCCCTGAGAAATGAGGGATGCAGTTTCATTCTTTCCTTACCTAAGAAAAACCAGTCCAGCCTAAGGAAGCAAACTTTCCATAACGGAGCAAAGAGTTCTCCCCGTTTGCTCTTAAATGGAGATTTGTAACTCAGGGCACTATAGTTCCGTACTGAAAGGAACAAAGGGAGCGTGTGCTTGGGGGTGCTTAGCAGTTCCCTTCGTTATTCCCATCTCCCTGTGGGTCTTACACAGCGTTCCGCTGGAAGGCTGGAGAACCTGAGGAACAGTGCTTGGAGTCTTGAGCACATTTACCATTTTCCTAATAAGATGGGGGCAGTTTGGAGGATGGTTTGGAGGCCAGTTAGACAGCTCCTTCGTGTCTATACCCTTACTGCGTGGTCACAAGATGGTTGCCACGGCTCCAGGCATCACATTGCCATACATCTGCATTCCAGGCAGTACAAAGGGGAAAAGAAGCTTTCTTCCTGACTCTCTTTTTATTTACTTATTTCTTTTTTATTTTTGTCTTTTTGAGACAGGGTCTCACTATGCAGTTCAGGCTGGCCTTGAGCTCAGTTTGTAGCCCAGGCTGGCCTCAAACTCACAACAATCCTCCTGCCTCAGCCTCCCGAGTGCTGGGATTACAGGCGTGCGCCACCACGCCCCACTTTTTATTCAAAGTGGGAAGCTTTTCCCTGAAGCCCAGCAGGCTTAATCCACATGTTTTTGGCTATATCCACAGTCCATGCTGTTGAAAGATTAAACTGAGGCACGTGAAATTGTAGCTTATTTGTGCCAGAGCAGTTCATGGATCAGCCCGTGGGCTCCATTCCTGAAAGGCAGTGGGAGTCCAGATGCGGGTTGCAGCTGCACCTCCCTGGGGTTAGGAAGACATCATTTGGGACAGGACTTGGGACCTCTAGGCAGTGCCTTATTCAGATCGGGTTTCCTTTCTCCCTGCAGCCCTGAACCCGGTGGCTCATGCGGGGCGCCTGAGGGATAAGGGAAGTTGTGGCGGCCTGGGTGACCCTGTGCAGAGTGCTTTATATTCGTGATCTGTGGCTTTGCATCTTCTTCCCCAGACTCACTGGCTTCCAACAGCAAACCCTTGGGTGTGCAGTGTCTATGCGTGGGCATTCAGGAGGGGCTTGCTCAGGGCGTCCTGGCTTGGGAGGGTGCCGCCCAGGGCAGGTGGGGCTCAGAGTGCTTCCCGGCTTGTGCACCAAGGGTGCTCCTCTCTGGCTGCTGTCAGGGGCCCTCTGTCCTCGCCCTGTAGCTGGGACACGTGTCCCCAGAGAAGGGGGCTGGGACAGAAGGTGAAAGGGACCTTGGTGACCCAATCTCAGGGACGCATGCCTGCCCTTGTTAGAAATGAGTTCGAATCCAGCCTCATGCCTCAGGGAAGAATTCCTAGGTGTCCTTGAACCACGGCAGCCTGAACCCCAGGCACAAGCTCCACAGCAGCCCGTGCTGTTGGGGTTCATAGACCCTGTCCTCAGCTCCCCGAAGCCTGGACAGACGCTGGGGACAGTGCTCAGAACCCATGGTAAATTGTCTGCGACAAACGCTTCACCACAACTAAGAGTTAAATTGCAGGCGTGGTGGCACACACCTATAATCCTCAGGAGGCTGAAGCAGGAGGATCCCTGCAAGTTTGAGGCCAGCCTGGGCTACATAGTGAGTTCAGTGCCAGCCTGAACTACACAACAAGATCCTGTTTCCCAAAAAATAGTGGGAGCCCTCATGTCTGCCACCTGTGCCACCCTGCTCGGCCTGGCAGCAGGCACGCAGCCTGCTGGGGTGAGTGGCGTGCAGGCGAGGGGGGAGGGCCCACCTTCCGGGCACCAGCGACCTCGCTGTCTCTGCAGAAGGACACGGGTTCCTGTACGAAACCTTCGGAGTCCGGCCGCGCTTCTCCTGGCAGGTGGACCCGTTCGGTGCCTCGGCCGCGACACCCACCCTGTTCGCCCTGGCGGGCTTCAACGCCCACCTCATCTCCCGCATCGACTACGACCTCAAGGACGCCATGCAGCAGGCCCAGGTGCCGGCTCCTCCCCTCCTCCCCAGGGCCTCCCGCGGGCCAAGGGCGGGGACTCCGGAGCAGCACAGGCTGGAGCCAAGTGTCCACCAACCCCAGGCAGCCCTGAGAGTGGGGTCCATTCGCAGGGAGGGCTGTAGCGAGGTCCACGCCTGGGACAACACACACTGACTGTCCCACAGCTCTGGGGCCGGGAGCCAGAGGCCCCGTGGGGGCTGGGCCTGCCCCTTCCCCAGGCATCAGGGAGGCGTCCGCTCCTCGACCACTTTCTCAGAGTCTCTGCCGCAGGAGCACCTGGGGTCAGCTCCCCATCATGAGGACGCCAGCCTCACTGCAGGAGGACCCACCTTAGTGGCCTCCTGCCTGCACAGCCACCTCTGTAACGACCCTGCTAACAAAGGCAGTCACAGCCTCAGGCACTCGGTGTCTTTTCAGAGGGCACTGTTGCAACCATAAACATGGGCAGAATTAAAATTCTACCCCATTTCACAGATGGGAAGACCGAGGCCCAAAGTATAAAGTGTTCTCTCCAGGCCCCCTAGAGGGCAGCAGTAAAGCTGGCTGGGGTGGGGGGGCAGTCTCCTGGAACTGGCTTAGGGCACCACTGAACACTGAGTACACTTCCCATGTGGCTCATTTCACCTGCAGATGGCCCTGTGGAGGCTGGGTGTGGCTCTTCCCATTTTTCATGCCCAAACCAAGTCACAAAGGGATTAAGGACATGTGCATGGCCCCCCAGCCGGGACATAACAGTAACCCCAAGCACTTTCTAACCATCATGACTATTCAAAAATAGTTGGCAAATTTGGTGAGAGGTAATGAGCTCCCCATACCAAGGCATATCCAAGCACAATGAGCTTCTGCTAGAGGCCCTGGCAGAGAGGCCTCACTGAGGAGCGGGTGGGGTGAACACACAGTCCCTGGAAACCAAAGGCCATGACTACATGTGGCTTTGGGGCCCCCGGGGGGCTCAGGGAGGAAGCAGCAAAGGGAAGCCTTGTCCTTGAACCCCGGAGAGGGCAGAGGGGAGGGCAGGCAGGGAGGCGCGCTGGGACTGGAGGGGAAGCCGGGCCTCGCTGTGGCCCCACCCTGTCCCTCTGGCCTGCAGGGCCTGCAGTTCGTGTGGCGAGGGTCGCCATCCCTGTCCACGCAGCAGCAGATCTTCACGCACGTCATGGACCAGTTCAGCTACTGCACGCCCGCCAGCCTGCCCTTCTCCAACAGGTGCGCCCCGGGCCGGCCCTGGCCTGGACCTGTCCAGCGTGTGGGGAGACGGCCCAGGGTCCGGCAGTGGCCAGCACAAGGCCCCTGGCTGGTAAATGGGGGTGCAAGACTCCAGCGCTGGTGACGCCAGAGCCTTCTTGCCGTGCGCCCCTGTCCAGATGGAGAGTTGTTTGTTTCTGTTTTTGTTTTGTTTTGTGGCAGGGTCTCACTATGTAGCCCAGGCTGGCCTTGAACTCTCTGTGATCCTCCTGCCTCAGCCTCCCAAGTGCTGGAATTATCGGTGTGCGCCACCCCGAGGCCTGACCTACGATTATTTAAAGAATGAGGATTTTTTTCCCAAGAGCATCCCACTGGCCTGAGCATCCCTGGCTGCCCTGGGGGGATTCAGCGGTCACCGGCTCACAGGGCCTGGGACCACAAGGCTGGGGTGTACCACAGTGTGGGGCTGGGACTGTGCACCCCCAGCGATGACAGCCCCAATGCATGGGCCTGGCTTGCCTTCCCTTCACCCCAAAAGTCCTCAAGGAGGCCTCAGAGCACCCCATCTTAGAGGAGAAGCTGAGGCACAGAAGCCCACCCAGGGTCCCATGGCTGGCGGGAGCGGGGAGCCAGCGTTCAGTTCTGGCTGGCGGCTCAATGCCTCACTTCCAGGCAATATCAGGCTTCGGTCTCCCGAGTCGCCTGGGCCTGGGTTCAAATCCAGCTCAGAGGAGAAGAGCAGGCCAGGGGGACGGGGGCGTGGGACCCCAGGTGGGGACTCGTGGCTGCCCCTGCCCCCGGCCAGGCGTGCTCTGTGCTGGGCTCTGTCTCTGGCTCCTTTTCCATGAATTATTTTCCTCCAGTCCGCATAACAAGCTGCCCATCTGCCACGGGAGAATGGGGGTTGGGTGTGGCTGTGCGGGAAGTGGCCCAGGGTTGTGGGCTCCAGACCAGCATCCACACCCCGAAGCCTGTTCTTGGGGTCCAGAGTGCCCCAAGCCAAGCTGGAGCCTGAGGCCAGGGGGGACTGTCTTTATCTAAAACTCTTGATTTTGTGATCATTGGTTTTTGTGCTTGTGTTTTGTTTTGTTTTTTGTTTGTGTTTCTGGTACCAGGAATCGAACTCAGGACCTTGTGCTTGCCAAGCAGGCGCTTATGCTGCTGTGCTATATCCCCGGTCCATTTTGTTTTTTTTTAAATACTGCATTAAAATGTTATTTATCCAGAGAACACAGTGGTGCACACCTGTAATCCCAGTGCTCTGGGAGGCTGAGACAGGACAGCCAGATAGATAGGTGATAGACAGACAGGCAAACTATATTGACCTTTAAGATTTGTGGTGCCCCCTTGAGTTTTTTTGGTTTTTTGTTTTGTTTTGACTTGGTTTTGGGTTTTTTGAGACGGTCTTGCTATGCAGTTAAGGCTGGCCTCAAACTCTTGGCAATCCTGCCTCAGCCTCCCGAGTGCTGGGATTATAGGCGTGCACCACCGCGCCCGGCTTCCCCCTTGAGTTTTGTCCCCAAGGTGATGGCCCAAACCTGCTTGGGCTCGTGAGACCATGGGTCAGCCGGCAAGCAGGGTGACCCGCCAGAGCAGGGCTGTCGTGGTGGGGAGCAGGGGCTGCTGGCTCCACGTGGCCCCGTAAACCAGGGTGCAGGGTTTGGTCTGCAAGCATGAGCGCTCACCTTCTCCTCTCCCCTCTCCCCGACAGGTCCGGCTTTTACTGGAACGGCGTGGCTGTCTTCCCAGAGCCTCCCCCGGACGGCGTGTACCCCAACATGAGCGAGCCCGTCACCCCGGCCAACATCAAGCTCTATGCCCAGGTCCTGGTGGCGAATGTGAAGCAGCGGGCCGCGTGGTTCCGGACGCCCCACGTGCTCTGGCCCTGGGTGAGCTAAGCGGGTCCCCGGTCCGCCAGCCCGGCCTGCCCAGCAGCCTCCTGGCTCCCTGGTTGGCCTCTGCCTGCCTGTTTCCTTGTCTGTAAAATGGGGACAGTGACACGCCTGCCGCCTAGGATTGAGGAGTCCCAGGGGGTGGGCAGTGCCAGGCGCAACACCCTCTTACTCGTCCCCAGCCTCTCGGGAGTGCCCAGTGCGTCAGGGCACTGACCTCTGCGATGTACCCATCCATCCCGTTTGCACCCCTGGCCGCAGGAGGCAGACAGGTGTCCTGTTTTGCATTTGGGGGGGCCAGGCTCAGAGAAGTTAGGGAGTTTGCTGAGGCCACACAGCTGGTTAGCAGGGTCGCTAGGAAGGGGCACGGCTGCATCAGGTGGCCCTGCAGCCTGTCCTGTCAGGACTAAGAAGAGACAGTCAGTGTGAGCCCTGGCCATGGTCATCGTTATGTCACGAGGCGAGGTGGTGCACACCTGTCACCCCAGCACTCAGGAGGCTGAGGCAGGAGGATCACTGCAAATCTGAGGCCAGCGTGGCCTACACAGTGAGTTGAAGGCCAGCCTGAACTGCAGAGCAAGTGAAACCTTGATCTCAAAAAACAAACAGACAAATCCCATGTTATTGTTAGCAAATGGATCCGCAGTGGCAGTGATCGTGACTGGCCTTCAGAGATTGGGGGAGCCCTTACTGGCACCTTGGAGCCCTGGGGGGCTGGGTGGAGACAGCACCGACCACCCTGAGCAGCTGGGGACTCCGGCCCGGCCCCCGTGTCCCCCTGCAGGGCTGTGACAAGCAGTTCTTCAACGCCTCCGTGCAGTTTGCCAACATGGACCCACTGCTGGACCACATCAACAGCCGCGCCGCCGAGCTGGGCGTGACGGCGGAGTACGCCACGCTGGGCGACTACTTCCGCGCCCTGCATGCGCTCAATGTCACCTGGGGCACCCGAGACCACCACGACTTCCTGCCCTATGCCTCGGGTACGGCCTCGCGGCGGGGTGGCCAGGACGCTGCTCTCCCCACCCGAGCCCGCCCACTGCCCCTGCGTTTGCTGCTTGGCATTGGTGGGGTCCTCAGGCCCGGCCCTGGGCCGGCTGCCTGCCGCACAGCCCTCTCCTGCCCTGAGTCCTGGAGCCACGGCCCTCCTGGTGCTTTGTCCCTCAGGTGGCCGTGAACACTAGGTGGGACAAGCAGAGCTCAGAGGATGCTGTCGTCCACAGGCCCTGGCACCAGGCCGGGCATGGCCGCCCCTCCCTACCCTGGAAGCTTCCTCCAGGCCTGCGGGCATCGAAGGCAGAGGTGTCAGCACCCGCCCAGGCCTGCCAACCTCTGGCGCCTGTGCCCGTGGCCCTGGCGGCCTTGCTTCTCTGCCCTCGGCACTGCACCCCAGGGCCTGCCTGCCGCTGTCATGGGCCAGTGTGGAACCAGCTAAAATCGTTGTTGCAAAAGACATCGCAGCCCCTGCGGTCCCTGCGCCCCGCCCCGTCTGGGCACAGGTGGAGACGCCAAGGCGGGGTGGGTGCGGAGGGTGCTGGCTGGTCACCTCACCCAGGACAGCGCGGGGGCCTGGGCACAGCGCCGCCTCCCGGGGTGCACAGCGCCGCCTCCCGGGGTGCACAGCGCCGCCTCCCGGGGTGCTCTGCCCAGCACCTGCACTCACCTGCGGGAAGGAGAGGCTCGGCTGAGTCTGTCCCCAGCAGAAGGGGGCGCTGGGGCTGCGGTTCAGCACTGCCTGGCCGGGGCCTCTGCAACAAGACGGTTAGGGACAGTGACTTCCAGCGGGCTGCGGCTGAGTCACAGCTCCTCCGGTGCAGGGGTCAGGGAGGACGGGGGAGAGCCCTTCGGAGGCTTTGCGGTGCGCTCCGTCCTCCCACTTCCTTCCCTGCCGCGGGGCTCATAGCTGGCCTTGGCCCGCAGGACTGTGTGGCTCGGACCTTGGGTTTAGCGCGGGTGGCTACGTGGGGGCGGGGTACGTGGATGTGGGCGTGGTTACTGTCGGGTGGGGGAGATGTGTGGTTGTGGTTATTTGGTGGGAGTGGTATGTCACCTGGACGTAGTTACGCTCGGAGTGGGAGGGGTTGTCCTGTAGGCGTGGTTACTGTAGGGCGCGGTGGGTTTGTGGGCGGGGTTGTCGTGTAGGTGGGTTAGTCCACGGCGGGCGGGGTTTTTGGGTGGGCGGGGCTATGGCCCGAGTGGGAGGTGTCACTCTTGGTGGGCGGGGTTATGACCCGAGTGGGCGGGGTTGGCTGTGGGCGTGGTGTGAGGTGGAGGAGCTGCGTCCTGCAGGATGCAGTGTGTCAATAGGGGTGGGCGTGGCTGGTGCTGCAGTTAGACCTTGGGCCTGTCTGGGAATCCCCGCCCCACCACTCTCAGTTTGCCCCCGGAGTCCCCGCAACCTGTGGCCACCTTTTGGCGCTTAGCCAGGGTCCTGTGGGGCAGAACAGGGAGGAGGGGCGCAGGCCAGCCGCAGGAAGGGAGGTGGCACCTGGAGCCGCTGCAGATGCGCAGCCCCACTGCATCCTGGCCCTGGAGCCCTCCTCTTGGCCCCAGACCCTGACAGCAGCCGCACCGGGTGTCAGCTCGCACCACCAGCCCCATCTCTCCCGAGACGTCCCTGCTGCAGTGCGAGCCTGTCCCAGGACTGCCCGGCCCGGAGTGCCCTGGGGCAGGGGTCCCAGACTCACCGTCTTGTCTCCCAGAACAGCTGCAGGCCTGGACCGGCTTCTACACGTCCCGCAGCACCCTCAAGGTGCTGGCACGGCAAGTCAGTGCCCTGCTGTATGCCGGGGAGTCCATGTTCACACGCTACATGTGGCCAGCGCCCCGAGGGACTCTGGACCCCGCCTGGGCTCTGCAGCAACTGCAGCAGCTCCGCTGGGCCGTCTCCGAGGTAACGTCACGTTTCTGGACTGTGGTGGCGGGCTGGGGCCTCCTGTGCTGTGCACCTTCCACCCTGCCTTTCTCCTGGCCGGGGCTCTAACCCACCTTACAGATGAGAAGACTGAGGTTCCTTTGGTCACAAGGCTGGTGCGTGGTGAGGCGGGGCCGAGCTCTGGTGGTGTCCAGCCAGGCCTCATTAATATCTGCAGCTGATTTTCTCAGGAGAAATGAAGGACAGAGTAGGGTGGCATTAGCTCTGCCTGGGTCCAGTTCTCGGCTCACCTGTGTGACCTCGGGAAAGTGGCCTTCCCTCTCTGAGCCCTGATTTCCTCCCCATATGATGAGAGCAGCTCCCTCCTCCCAGGACGGAGGGCAACGATGCAGTAATAGTCGCGTCCTGCTCGGCACAGTGGCTGCCACGGGGCACACCGAACGCCATCTCTGCTTATGCCCTGCTGGGAAAGGAAGACCCAAGAGGTCCCCTAAGCTGTCCCCACCCCGAAGTGGCCAGGCCAGACGTGCCGTTTTTAGTTACCTGAGGCAGCTGCCGCAGGACCTGTGTTCTTGTCGGGCCGGGATAAGCTGACATTGAGGTCGGTCAGAGCAGTGGGCCAGGGTGGCTTCCATGAGCCTCAGTTTCCCTGCTGGGAGACCATCGGCCCCGCCCCCCAGCCGAGGCGGTGAGGCTCATGCTGCAGGGAGCACGGATGGGAGTCGACTAGGGAGTGTCCTGGAGGGGACCCCGCGTCCCTGCCGACGTCACCGGGCCGGGGCTTCTTTGCACAGCTCAGAAGAGGCTGCGCGAGGTCCTCGGCCCCCGGCCTCGGTTTCCCGTCCTGTGAGGGGAGGGACGCCCACCTGCTCCTCAGGGCTCGGGTCCCGACCCGCCTCTTCCCGGGCTGTGGTGCCACAGGTCCAGCACCACGACGCCATCACCGGAACCGAGTCCCCCAAGGTGAACGACATGTACGTGGAGCACCTGGCCGAGGGGACACTGGGCGTGCGCAAGCTGATGGCCGCCATCGTGGGAGACAGGGCGCAGCACACAGCCCCAGGGTCCGACTCGGGTGAGCCACCTTCGGGAGGTGCAGGCCCATTCTCAGGAGGGGGCCCGGGGGGCCAGGGAGGGGCTGGGGGCCCGCGCCTCTCACTGCAAGGTCACCGTCCCCTGAGCGCCTGCCGGTGGCGTGACCTTGGCGGTGACTCCAGAGCACCCAGCCTCCGTGTCCTCATCCCTGGACTGAGGAGAGGTTGAGGTTACAGTTAGAGCCCGAAGGGACTGCAATCACATTTTGAGCATTTACTAAACTCAGAATGCTCTGCATGGAGGATTTAATCCACTGCCTTGCCAAAGTCTCCATAGGAGCTGGTGTGTGGTAGCAAAGGCCTATAATCCCAGCACTCTGGAGGCTGAGGCAGGAGGGTCACCTTGAGTTTGAGGCCAACCTGGACTACAAAATGAGTTCAAGGAGGGGCTGGGGATTTAGCTCAGCAGCACAGCGCCTGCTTGGCAAGCGCAAGGTTGTGAGTTCGATTCCCGGTACCAGAAAAAAAAAACAAGAAAAAAAAAATTTAATTAAAGATGAGTTCAAGGCCAGCCTGGATCACATAACAAGACCCTTTCTCAAAAAATGAAAAAACCCAAGCAGGACAGGAGCTATTATTATTTCCATCTTACAGCCGAGGGAACAGACTCAGTTTTGTACCAGTTCACATCCTCAGGTCAGAAGGGGCAGAGTGGTGTTGAACCTGTGACCCTGTTCTGCCCCGCCCGGCGGGAGGAGATGCCAGTGTCCGCAGGCCTGGCTCCCTCCCAGTTCCTGGGGCTCCCTCCAGAGCTCAGCTGGGGTGCAGGTCATCGCTGGGCAGCCATAGCCCTGACGCTTCGGGGATTTCATGCAGGCAGTTATGAGTCTACCAGTTTGCTGGGGCTGGGATGCCACAGTTGCAGACCCTCTGCCTCAGCCTGCACTCCGGTCATTCTAAACCGCTTATTGATTTGTTCTGTGGTACTGGAGATTGAACCCAGGGCGCAGGCAAGACACAAACTTCACATCCTCCTGCCTCAGTCTCCCGGAGTGCTAGGATTACAGGCGTGAGCCACCCCTCCTTGTGGCTCACGTACTCCTTGATGTCCCCACTGGCCTCTGCACTGGGCTAGCAGTGCCTTGGCTCTGATATCCCAGGCCAGGGAACATTTCTGGCCTCAGTTTCCTCATCCCTAAAGTGGGCAGATGGGGAGAAATGTGTGAGGGACACCGTGCGTCCCCCTCCTGCCACTCCGCTCAGGACCTGCCCTGAGCTGATATGTGCCGCACGGCTGAGCACGGCCTGTCCGCCTGCCCTTCACGTGCTCCCCAGGGCTCACCGCCTCGGTTTCCCTTGTGTGGAGAGGTGCCCACATGTGTCGATGGGTTGGGGCATCAGGAAAAGCCTGTTCTCCGTGTGTAGGTACAAGACCTGAAGGACTCCTTGCATCTGTCTACAACCCGCTGGCCTGGACGGTCACCACTATTGTCACCCTGACAGTCGGCTTCCCTAGAGTCAGCGTCACGGATGAATCGGGCCGCCTCATGCCTGCACAGGTATGTCCATGATCTCCTGCTGTGGAAAGCCCGTGGGGGCTTCGAGGGTGCTGTAATGGAGGTGCTGCGTGGGGCGGGCCCAGGCGGCCTCTCTGTGTCGCACCCAACCGTCCAGCCGCTGGGTAGTCCACCCCCCATTGTTCCCCTGCCTGGGCCAGCTCAGTTTCTGTAAGGCAGCTTGGAGTCACCCAGCTTAGTCATTCAGCAAACACTCCTGAACACCCATTCTGGGCTCGCTCTGGGGTGAATGCTGGATCTCTGGACAGAAGTGAAGACACAGACAGTTCTGGTGTGGCACAGTGACCCGGGAGAAGGGGAGCATCCCTCCGTTCACACTGAGGAGGAGGAAGTGTATGGAGCCAAGACAGACTGAGAGAGGGGAGTGGACTGAAGGAGATTTAACCCTTCACACTCATTCCTCACCCAAGTGCAGGAAGAGAAATTCACCCAGCAGAGATTTCTGGAGCTCCTACCCTGTGTCAGGCCCTGCCTGGGTGTGAGGAGACTATACCAGCCAAATGGACACAATCACTGCCATCAGGGACTGTATTAGCCACTTCGTGTTGCTGGCACAATCCACCTGACCTGGCAGTTTGAAGGAGGAGAGGGTTAAGGAGGCTCACGGTTTCAAAGGGTTCCAGCCATGGTGCGCTGGCTCCAAGGCAAGCCACGGTAACTACAATGAGAAATTCCTTACAGCAAGTGACAGGGCTGGGACACATCTTTTTACTTAATTAAATGTATCAGTACATTTTAGGTATTCATAATGATCATATTCATCATAGGGAATTTGTTCCTGTACATGATATAACTTGATTTTTTTTTTTTTTTTTAATCATTCCCCTACACTCCCTTCAACCCCTCTTCCCGTCCTTATTTACAAAAGCTTTGCCGGGCGTGGAGGTGCACTCCTATAATCCCAGCACTTGGGGGGGCTGAGGCAGGAGGATCATTGAGAGTTCGAGACCAGCCTGAGCTACAAAGTGAGCTCAAGGCCAGCCTGAACTGCACAGTGAGACCTTGTCTCAAAAAGACAAAAAAAAAAAAAAAAAAAAAAAAAAAAAAAAAAAAAAAAGCTTTGTTCACATTTTTCCTTTTTCTCACTTTTTTCCTTTTCCTTTCCTTCCTTTCCCCATTTGAACATTTTCTTCCTGTTTCACAATAGCTAGTATACATTTTGGTCCTTATTTACACTTTTGGTTTCTCACACTAGAAAACAGTGCAGTATTTACACACATGGGACATGTTTTTATTTTATTTTATTTTTTTTTGTTTTAATTTGCATTTTTTGGGGGGGGACATGTTTTTAAATAGGGCAGGCAGGAGCCAGGGATATAGCTCAGTGGCACAAGTGCCTGCCTGGCAAGCCTAAGGTCCTGAATTGGATTCCCAGTACCAAGAAAAAAGAAAGAAAGTCATTTGTTTGAGCCAGAGATATAGCTCATTAGTACAAGCACCTGCCTGGCAAGTGCAAGGTCCTGAGTTTGATTCCCGGTACTCCCCCCCCCCCAAAAAAAATAGGGCAGACAGGGCCGGGAATATAGGTCAGCAGAACTGCGCCTGCCTGGCAAGCACAAGGTCCCAAGTTTGATGCCTGGTACCAAATAAATAAATAGGGCAGGCCAGATCCCGTTCCTTCAGGATCAGGCAGGTAGAGAACAACCTGTCTGCCATATTATGGCCTGAGAAGCAGTATGGCCTTGCTAACAGGGACCCCCAAAAGGCTCCCACGGGGGCTCAGGAACTGCATGCTGTTGCTGGAGAGCGGGTGGGGTGCGCCGGACCCTAGTGCCCTGGCTGGCTGCTCTCAAAGGAGCCAGGGACAGTGCTCGCTTCGGCAGCATGGATACTAAAAACAGGAGCCAGGGACAAGTTTTTGAGAAAGACAGTTTATCCCCAACGCCAGCAGACAGAGATCACAGGCTAGCGGCAGTGAAGAGCCTAAGGAGCAAGCTCCTTTAATCCTCGGCCGGGAACAGTGGCGGGGTAAGGAAAGGACCAGGGACTGCAGGCTGCTAGGTGTCCCTGCAGGGTCTGGGGCAGGGTGGTGTGAGAGCTGGTGCTGGTACACATCTACCAGGAAAGTCCTTTTTTTTTTTTTTTTAATTTGTTTTACATTAGATGTTACTGGTACATTTTAGATATGCATAAGGATCACATTTCTCATAGGGAATCCGCACCCAAACTCGATGTAACTTGGTTTTTCCCCATTCCCCGCCCCTCCCTTCAGCCCTTCCTCCCTCCGCATTTACAAAGCTTTGCTTCCATGGTTTCCTTCTTCTCTCATGTTTTTTCTCCTTTCCCTTCTTTCCTTTCTGCTGCCCTTTCCTGCTCCCCTCCCCATCTGAACATTTTCCTGCTATTTCAGAGTACATTTTGGTCCCTACCTACACTTTGGGTCTCTCACACCAGAGAAACAATGCAGTATTCACACGTGTGTGTCTGTCTATACCCTGGGAGGCTGGGGATTTAGCTCAGCAGCACAGCGCCTGCCTGGCAAGCGCAAGGTTGTGAGGTCAATTCCCCATACGGGGGAGGGAAGAGTATATCCTAGAAGTCCTGACCTCTCAGCTGCTTTTGTTGCTTCTTCTTTTTTTCTTTTTCTTTTTCTTTTTTCCTTTTTTTCTTTTGGAGACAGGGTCTCGCTATGAAGTTCAGACTGGCCTTGAGCTCACTTTGTAGCCAAGGCTGGTCTCAAACTTGAAGCGATCCTCCTGCCTCAGCCTCCCGAGTGCTGAGATTACAGGCGTGCGCCACCACGCCGGACTCCTCTTCTTGCTTCTTCCACCTCAAAGGGGAAGGAAAGAGATTGGGCAAATCCACCTTTTCTGTAAGTCCCAAGCCCTGATACCGCCTAACCCCTCTGTGTTTGCGGCAGAGCTGAGCAGATACTGATCAGAGATAAGGGTGGCCCGGGGCAGACACCCAGGAGCAGAGGCGCCAGGCTTCCTGCCTGCTGTGTTAGTCACTGCCACCAGACACTGCTGCACCCCTGGGGCGGGGGGGGGGGGGGGGGGGGTGCCTGCAGCAAAAGCAGCCTTCAAGTCGCTGGAAAGGAACCTAGGCCACTTCATCATGATGACCGTAGGGCAGAGGGCCACTGATAACCCATCACTCAGCTGCATGACCTCCAGAATCTGTGACTTGACCTCAACGAAGACCACATGAAGCCAGAGTCCCACCTCTTCCACCCCTCCCAGTCAGACGCGGAGGCCAGGAGGGCCAACAGGAAATAGTGCCCCCGGGGGACATCAGAGGCTGGGGGAGGGCTGTCCCTGCCTGAGAGGAAGTGCTCCAGCGAGCTGTATGGCTGGGTCTCAGGTCCTGAAAAGTTCGGAGGTTAAGATCAGATCTGGAGTGAGTGTGCATGTACCTGTACTCCTGTCACTCAAGAGACTGAGGCAGGAGGATCACCATGAGTTGCAGGCCAGCCTGGGCTCCATACCAAGACCCTGTCTCAAAAAAAAAAAAAGAATCAGATCTGGAAGTCACCACTTCTGGTGGTAAAGCACAGTGACGGAGCTGAGACCCTGGGGAGGAGAGGCCCTGGGGACCCACTAGCCAGCTGTCTTCAGGTCATAGAAGGGTTCACCAGAGGTGAAGTGTTTTATGGGGGTCCTGGAAGGGGATCCGCAACCAGAAAGGGTACAGGGAGGGGAGCGGGGGTGCAGTCAGGAGCCGGAAGGACACCTCTGCCTTGTGCGTGGCGAGCACCTTGTCCAGGCAATGGTGCAAGCCAGGGCTCCCGAGCGAGCTTCCAGCACTGAAATCCAGCTTCCGCTCTGTTCTGCTGACTTTGCAGATCCAGAACTCAACCAAAGAGCCCTCTGCCTATGACCTGCTGATCCTGGTCACAATCCCAGGCCTCAGCTACCGGCGCTACAGCGTCAGGCCCACGACGGGGACCCAGGCAGCCGCCACCATGGCCAGCACCATCCGGTTCGGCCGCAGGCTGCGACGCACCAACCAGGGGGACAAACACCTGGTGCCCGTGGCAAATGACTGCTACACGGTGCTGCTGGACCCAAACACCAACCTGCTGCATAGTGTCCAGGAGAGGTGAGGTGCGGCCCTTGCTGGCTCTGGCTGAGGGGCCTTGGGCTGCCCCTCGCTTACCCGTGCCAGGGAAGAGCTGGCTGGGAGTGAAGCCCTTCCTGTCTTCAGTTCAAGGCGGGTGAGCAGAGGTCAGTGCAGAAAAGGCTGCTTATACCATCCGGTTCCAGAGCTGTGATCTGTGGACAGGGCGGTGTTGGGGGGCTCACTCTGGGGAAAATATGTTGTGTGCTTCTTCAAGCTTGGCAAATGTAGAAACATGATGTCTTTAAAACAAAAAGGGACCTTCAGAATCATCTCTTTCTCCCCTCTCACCTGTGTGCCCATCCATACACCCATCTGCCTTCACCCTCTATCCAGCCACCCATCTGTCCCTACATCTGCCCATCCATACAGACATCTGCCCACCCACCCATCCATCCATCCACCTGTCCATCCACCCATCTATGCTTCCATCTACTTACCCCTCCACCCATCTGCATACCCATACATGCATGCATCCATCCATCCACTCACCTATCTATCCATCTTCCCACCATGCACCTGTCCACCTGTCTATCCATCCCCCCTCCACCTATGACTCTATCCATCTACCCAGCCAGGTACGCATCTACTCAGGTACTCATCCATTCATCCAGCCATCCATCCATCCAACATCCACCCACCTACACAGCCACACAGCCGCCCATCCACCCATCTTCCTATCCATCTCTCCGTCCACCTCTGTCTCCATCCATCTACCCATTCATCTGTGCATCCATCTGCCCATTCATCCCTCTACCAACCCACTCACTTACCTGTCCATCCCTCCGTCCATCTACCCACCTGTCCATGCTCCCACCCACTCACCCCTCCTTCCATCCATCTCTGGTTATCAATCCACCCACTATTCATCACCCACCATTCATTCCTTGGTGCCGTGTGGGTGCGGATCTCTTGCCCATTTTTAAATTGGGTTTTCTTCTTACTGCCGAGTTGTAAGAGCTCCTTGTGTACTCCAGGGTCTCATCCGTGTGAGAAGCACGCGGGGAAATCCTCTGTCCTTCCTGAGTCACCTGTTCCCTCTCTCCATGGCCCTGGGCAGCATTTTGAAAGGAATCCAGGGTTGAGGAGGCTGGTGCAGAGCCAGAGGCCTTTTACAGCAGGCAGACGGAAACCATTCTTTCCTCTCCTTTCCGTCTGGGGCTCCGTCGGCCTCCTGCTCCTTCCCCACCCAGCCGCGACCCCTGGGAATCCCCACAGTGGATTCGGAGCCGTCCAGATCCTCACCCTCCCCCACAGCAAGGCCAAACCAAAACAAAAAGCAGACGCAAATGTGTCTCTTGCCTCCACAGGTGCACAGCTACCCGTCACACACCTAGCCCGCAGCTGTGGCGCATGCCTGCAATCCCAGCACCCTGAGAGGCTGAGGCAGGAGGGCTGCAAGTTCCAGCCCAGCCTGGGGAACTTAGCAAGACCGTGTCTCAAAATAGAAAATAAAAAATGAAAGGCTGAGGATGTAGCTCAGTGTGAAGGCCTTGGGTTCACAATGCCAAAAAAAAAACCACGGCTCTGCATCTAGAAGGCTCTGGGGCGCCCGTCCGCTCCAGCGGGGTGGCCGTGCTGCGCCCCCCCAGCCTGCAGTGCTCGGTGGGACTCCGTCCTATTGCTCCTGTGACTTTCTTGGCTCCCCACAGGGCAGTTCTTCCCCTCTGGCTCACGGCTGAACCCGGGTGGAGCGATTGTCGCCCTGGACCCAGATCACGGGAACCATGCCCCTGAGACCACCTCCAGGACGTTAGTGATGCCACCTTCCTTCTCCCTCTGGCTGCCGCAGACAAAGCAACCGGACGGTGCGCATGGCCCAGGAGTTCCTGGAGTACCACGCCAACGGGGACGTCAGGCGGGGCCCCATCTCCGACAACTACCTCTTCGCACCCAACGGGACAGCGGAACCCTCGTGGGAAGCCGTGGGGCTGGAGATCGTGGCGGGAAAGCTGGTGACGGAGATCCGGCAGCACTTCTACAGGTGCTCCCTGGGGCCCCCTCGGCACACACCCACAGTGGCCTCCTTGCCCCTGGGTGGTTGCTGCTGGAGGAGAATTTACGGAGGTGGAAGCAAATTGTTCCAGGCTCCACATGTGCCTGTGCGGGTTATGCTGGTCTTCAGCAAGAAGGGTCATGTTCTTCCACTGATGGCTCAGGCCAGGCACATTCACCCCATGGTCTCAGAGACCCAGTTCCTCCTGCCATGTTGCTCAGTGTCCCAGCCTGTGCCATTGTCCTCATGGCCCAAAAAGGTTGCCTGGCTGCCTGCCCTTCCTCAAACAGGAAGGAAGGGGAGCGGACAGGGCATCCTGCAGCTCCTATAGCTCCACCTACCTCAGACTTTCTCCTCCAGGGACGCCAAGGCCCAGAATTACACATACGCTGTCTACTCCCGGCTGGCCCACGTGTCCCAGGGCCCCGGCGGGGAGCTGCTGTGTCACCGTATAGAGCAGGAGTACCGAGTGGGGCCCCTGGAGCTGAACCGCGAGGCCGTCCTGAGGACCAGCAGCGATCTCGACAGCCGGCAGGTCCTCTACTCAGACAACAACGGCTACCAGATGCAGCGGAGGCCCTACCGGCACTACAAGAAAAACACCTTGGCTCGGGTACCCTGGGGCGCTTTCCTGTTTCCCCTGCTTTTTGTTATCCCGGGGATTGAACCCAGGGCCATTGTGCTGAGCTGCATCTTCAGCCCTCTTTTCACTTTTAAATTTTGAGGCAGAGTCTCACTCAGTGGCCCTGGCTAGGCTGAAACTTGGAATCCTCCTGCCTCAGCCTTCCAGAATGCTGGCTTTACAGGTGTGAGCCACCACACCTGGCTTTTCTACATCTTTAACATTGGCTCTTAAGGGTAGAGACCTCCTTTAAAGCCACTTTGCCACGTGTCTGTGCAGACCCGGGCTCCAACTGGCATCTGGGTCCTGATGCTGCCAGACAAGAATCCTTGGTTTGTGCCTCGGTTTCCCCTTCCGTAAAGGAAGGGCTTTGTCAGAGAGCCGTTGTGAGGGTAGATAGAGTGAGGTGGGTCAAATGCAGAGCTAAGCCAGGTCCCAGGGCTGGGAAGCAGCTCGGCAGGGAACTCAAGCCCCGCGTCAGTCTCAGGAACTAGGATGACCCAGCGCCCCCTGCTGGTGACATCTGTGTCTGCAGAACTACTACCCCATGGTGCAGTCCGCCTTCCTCCAGGATGAGAAGGACGGGAGCAGGCTGGTGCTGCTGGCGGAGCGGGCGCACGGGGTCTCCAGCCCAGGCGGCGGGCAGGTGGAGGTAAGCAGGCCGGCTGCTCCCCGCGGCCACCCCAGTGTGGCTCAGCGGCAGCTGCAGCGGCCTCCCGCTCCTCTCCCGCAGGTCATGCTCCACCGGCGCCTGTGGAACAACCTGGCCTGGGACCTGAACTACAACCTCACGCTGAACGACACCTCCGTCGTCCACCCCGTGCTCTGGCTGCTGCTGGGGTCCCGGGCGGCCACCACTGCCCTGCGCCCGCGGAGCGCGCTGGCCCTGCAGTACAGGCCAGTGGTGCTGCTGAGCGGAGAGCTGCCTGCGGACGGGGCTGCCGCCCGGGGTACGTGCTGCCAGGGCAGGAACCTGGGGGAGCAGGGCGGGAAGGGCTGGCGCTGAGCCAGCTGGTTCTGTCGGAATTGGTCCACGCTGTCACCAGGCGCTTCTAACCCTTCTAACCCACTGTTAATCTGACCACCATGCAGTTCCCCAGCTTCCTGCTGGCCGGCCCCGCCCCTGAGGGCTCCTCCTCCTCCCAGTGGCAGCACCACAGGCTGGTGAGGAAGCCTCAACACGTGGCATTGGGGATACAGAAAAGAAACAAGCCAAGAGTGGTACCACACGCCTGCAATCCCAGCACTCGGGAGGCTGAGGCAGGAGAATCGTTGCAAGTTCGAGGCCAGCCTGGACTGCAAAGTGAGCTCAAGGCCAGCCT